AACCTTTAAACTGTATTTGCATTTTCTCTTGTTAAGGCAGCCAAGAGATGGCAATGTTTCTTAAATGCTGGCTTGGCATATGAAAGAGTCTGCCATTGTCCACTTCAGGGGCTTTTTTCAGTCTAAGAGTAATTTCTATCCATGAAGGAGCAGTGTGGGATCAGCAGAAAAGTGGGCAATAACCATTGAGAGCACAGCTGAGGCCCCTAATGAGGAAGAGAGCAACAGTGGTCCTCTTGAAAACGCCTGGCAGCTCTTTTCTCTGTCTACATGGTGACTTTGTTTGGTAGGTGTGAACTTGTTAGCATGGGGCTGCTGTTAATACTGGGGCTTGGCTCTGGGCACTTCTCTGTGCTGTTAATGATGAGACCTGAACACATTTACAGCACATCAGCCTACAGCTGTTCCTGGAGCTCTATTGGTTTTGCAGCAAGACAAAATATGAGGCCAAACACTTTGTCTTCTCTGCTTTGTCAACTTGTATTACATATGTTCTTTGCTAGGAGAGTGTCATGTGCTCAGGGCTATTACAGCCACCGCCAAACCACCCATCAGCCTTGTACAATTAGAAAGTGTTACGGCCAGATACACTGTCACTCCAGCGCAGCCCTTTTTCAGACCTCTACCTGCTGGCATGATAGGAATCATTCCAGCAAAGTTTTAAAATGCTGTACAAGTGAGACCTGCAGCCCATCACTGTGTCAAATCACATTCCTGTCAAAGTATCAAAGAGTTTCCTCCTGCACTTTGCAATAGGAAGGGTCACAGCACCCAGTTAAACAGTAACTCGCTTTCTGGTCAGCTCCAAGACTCTGAAGAAGCACAAAACATTCCTGACCTTTTCACAAGAACAGATCCAGGATTTACTAATAATTTTGTAAGAGAGATGTCTACTCTTTTTCGTTTGGGAAATTCCAAATCGTGGCTGATATTCTGAAGAAATGAGTGCTGAGGCTGTGCTAGCAGTAGGACTACCCAAAGCAGGGGTAAAATCCTTTGTGCTTCCTGATAGCATTGTTTTATCTCAAGGTTCAAATCCAATTGGAAAACTGAATGATTTTGCTATTGCTCTGTACTCAGTTATCCACACAGCAACAAAGAAGCAAAATATAGGGTTATTGCTCTGGCATGCACGCACATGTAGGACAAATGTCACATACCTTTACTTCCCACAGGATTCCATTATGGCATGCACTCACCTCTGTAGCATGAAACCAACCTGAACTCAGCCTGCAAAGCACCCCATTTGCCTTCTGTCCCAGACAGACACAGTGACAGCCCAGTCCTGCCTGAAAGGAGACAGCAACCAGAGCCTGCCAAAGGCAGCAATCCTACCAGAGCTGCAGCATCAGCAGCTTCAGGTGGGCAAAGGCAGTAGGATGCATTGCTTAGGGGGCAGATTCCCTCCTGTGCATCACAGGAGCACTGGGACATACACTCCTACAGGAGGAAACCACCAGGTTCAAGGTAGCAGAAGGTTTGCTGCCTGAGGTTGCTGCCTTTTATAATTAGGTGGAAGAAGGCTGAGAAAACATGAAGCCTGGGAGGAGAGTGAAAACATGAATGGGAGAACGTGGGCTTGTCTCAGACTGCGCCCAGCTGGACAGGCTCATGCTGATGCATTCCTGCCATGTCCTGCTGCCCTGCTCTCTTGGGAACTCTGGGTCGGCATGAGACCGAATCAACCTTGTTGACTTCAGTATAACCAGATTAACCCAAGTCCAACACCGAAGCTTCTAGCACTGGCAGCAGTGTGATATCCTTTTTGTGGGAGAACTCCCCACCCACAGGTTACTGAGCTGTGCTTCTGACGTAAACAGGTGCTTCAGGTCAGGGCATAGGAAATTTTCCATTCCCTGAGCACAGTGACACATGCCAAGCCAGCTGCACAATCACAGCACAAACATCCTGAGCCCCTGGCGAGAGATTTGACATCCATTAATGAACCAGCTTCCTCCAGCCAATGCTGTTTTTGCTGGGTCTCAAAATGTATGCCATGTTTCTTGTGCCTTGTGCTATTATTTGCTAAATGGCTGCATCTGTGCTTCCAGCAGAGCTCAACTAATTTGGCTCTTTCAGTCTGGAGTAGCCAAATTATGCAACAGCAGCAATTTCTATGCAGGTGCTCTGTTGTACTTATCCTTTCTTATCTGATGGTAGGAGAAAGAACCTGGCATAGAGGCTATTGCACTGCTCTATCTCCTGCAGTTCACTGGTGTTATGCCCTTCAGAAAGAACAGCAACCCCTGCAGAGGTAAACCCCAGTGAGGGATCATCCTGCAGCAGGGATGGCTTCCTGGCCTCTTTTTCACATCCTCTAAGAAAAGCCCCCAGAGTGATCTCACAAAATACCAGACCTCATCCTGAGGAGCTGAAGAGCAGCTTGATGGGTCCCTCCACATAAGCATGTTCACCTTTCTCTGACTGGGATGAAGCAGGAGAGAAAAAACTTGTATTGAGGAACACAACAAGAAACAAAAAGTCTTGTTTGCCCAGCTGATCTGTTCCAGGCTGGAAGTACTGGCATCCCCATGCTTTCAGGCTTGCTATCTAAGGAAGTTGGTTATTTTCCCAAACAGAGGGGCTGTGGCTGGAGGGTAGAGGTGGAAGCAGCTGCAGGAGGCAGGAATGAACGTGCTGGGACACGAGCAATTGATTGCTCATTCCTGGGCCAGGTTTGAGAGTCAGCTGAGGCCAAAGGTGCCAAATGACATCTAATTTCTGACTGAGTGGTATTAATAACCATGGAGACAAAGTAGCTGGTATTTGGTAGAGAATTCAGATCCACCCCAACTGCTCTGAATAGGAGTCAGCACTGAGAAGACCCTCTGCCAAAGGAGAACCACAGCCACCCCTAAACAGAAGTCACAGAGCAGTTGCTTCCACTTTTAAACAGCCCTCCCCTTTGCTCTTGAACCACAGCTCGCCTGCCTAACCAGCGGCTTCACCCTTATCCCTATGCACCCTACCCACAAAGGGCAACACTGCCCTCCTCCATGTGCCTCTCCCTTTTCCCAGCCCCCAGGCCTTTCTCCAGACACTGGACTTCACACTCCCTTCCAGGTCCCAAGCGTGGGCAGGGAGCCCACACCCACCTGCAGCCTTTGCCTGTGCTCAGTTCTGAAGATCTGAAGTTCTAAAGATCTGAATGGATCTTTAATAACAAAAATGTAGCCGGAAGATGAAATTTAACTAGTAAAACTTAAGGAACACCTTGAATATTTACATTTCCAAGTAAAACTGAGCACTGTGGTCCCATGTTAAGAATATCAGTTCCTTTTACAGTTGAAAAACAAACAAACAAACATTAGAAGAACAACACAACTGTTTTCTTATCGATCTGACACGTTTCCAAATCGAGATGAGTAACATTATCATCCAAAGGCGTGATCCCAGTGTTTCATACCAGCACATATTTCTGCTTGGAAACAGAAGTCTCCTTCAAGACCACTGTGTGCATATTAACAAAAATCATTTCCCACAACACTTTAAACAGCAGTATTTAATCATTGTCACATCAAAAGCACTTTGCAGCTCACCAGCATTTTCTGTTTTTCTTTAAATAGAAACCCAGACATTTTTTAAAGCAGCAGCTTACATCCATGGCTTTCATTCATAAGCGATCCCCTGTGAAAAGGGAAAAATCCACGTACTGTGTAAAATACTTCCTGTTATAATGAAATGCAGAAAAACTTGTGTTGCTTTGAACTTTCTTATCCCATAATAATAAACTTGCAAAGCAAAGCATTTTCACCAAATCTTATTCAATCTTCATTCACTGATACGCTGGACTTTTCACTTGGATTTATCAAGTGACAAGTTATCATCTCAAGGTAACATCGACAGGGGAGAAAAATCAATGTGATTTGCTATCAGAAAACTCCTCGCCAACGTCATACTTGCATTTACAAAAAATGGAACGCTCCTGAGAAGTCCCTTCCATGTCTGAGATACAACTCAGGAATTAGAACTTTATTTACCATGGATACAATAGTTTATTTTCTTCCTGCAATGCAACTAGGAAGCTAGAACTGTTGCGTGGATACTTGTTGCAAATATAACACTACAAACCCAAACAGAATTCTTACTCTTTATTTCCTCCTCTTCTACTCACTGCTATCGACCTCACAAACCTTTACTGCTGGAAAGTTATGTTGGGATTATCACTCTTTGTATAAAAAAGTGATGTAATTATTTAGAAATGTTAAATAAGAGCATTTGAGTGATATTTTATTAGTGCTTCTATTTAAGAACACTGAGCAACAGTATTGGGACTTTTTGAAATATTCTCAAGTTTCATCATCAGATCTTTTAATCTCAGATACCACAGATACAAAACAAGTGCATTCCACAGTAGAAGAAATGATCCCAATAGTGAGGTTCAGTATTGCCAGCTGAGTTCCATAAGGTAAGATCTGAATATGGTAATGTGTGTATTTTATATAGCTGTGCATACAAGAAGATTACGGGAGCTCTGCCAGCCATGTGAGAACATGACTGGCCAACAGAGGGCTACTTCTCACCCAGTTCCCAGCAGGCAGGTTGGTCAGTTGTGATAACGGACATCTTGGATAGAGCCAACGCCAGCATTTGGTGAGATGACAAACAGAGCCTTTAAGTATTTTGTTGTGTTTTCGTCACTCCGCAGTATCAACATCACCACTCACCCACTCACTCCATGCTGTGCAAAAATATCCATGACCTTAAATGCTTTGTAAAAACTCACCAGGGATTGCTGACAAGGTATGAGATGCTCCACTGCTAGCAAAGAACACACAAAACCACTAACAGGAAACCAGAAGTTATTGTGAATGAATGGAAACAGAAACTGGAAGAAACAAAGCAAGCACCAGGCTCCACAAAATTAGGAAGACAAAGGCTCACTGCAAAGCAGGGCTTGAAGTATCTCACTCTACATAACTCAATGGCAGAAAGCTTACAACATTATGCAGCAAACAGCACTTCATAAATTGCAAATGAAACAATGGCACACAATGGAGAACCTTGTGCAGGAAATAATACAACTTTTTATTCACGTTTTATAGTTTACTTTTCTTTATTTTTGCTTTAATAATGCATATTCTGTTCACTCTGTGCAAAATTGGGGACGGAGGCTGGCGCTGAAATCATCTACTGAAAACCAAGCGGAGATAAACATTCAAAACCAAAGGAGAGGCTACTGAAAACGGGAAAGCTAAAAAGCCACAGCTGATGAAGACAGAGATGCTCTCAACTGTGCCACTGTCCCACCGCTTGGCAGGGACCTGGTTGTGTGGAGCAGCTAGCTGTACACGGCGAGTGTGACCTCTACCGGACACCGGTGACGGGAGATGGGGGTAGCTACGTGATGGAGACCTGACCTGCAACCAGCTCCCGTTGGTGTGTGGCAAAGAAAGGCACAAATCATTGCAAAGACCGGAATCTTATTCTGATGGTTTTCTTCTCCTAAATACATTACTGTACACAACGTTAAGTTTCATTGTAGGGGGTTGGGGGACATGAAATTGCATATTTAACAACTTAAAACTGTAACAAGAAGTAGGCTGTTCTATCTCGAAGCAAAAATAATCCCTCCAGCCCCAGCGTTAACATTCATTCCTGGCTATATGCAGTACAAACATTTTAAAATCTGTGACAAAAGACAATTAAAAAACAAAAACAAAAACAAAAAATAATCAAAATCATAAAGCTTGTAAACAGATAATCTGAAATACACTTTATTTATGGAAAAATATCATCAAAATAGTACCACTATGGACTAAACTGCCTGAGTTTTCATTTCACCTATGATCTTGAAGTAGAGAGCCTTTAGCACAAGAAGATCGATTTCAGTCACAACCAGTGCCACACTGCACCGCTTTGTGTGGAAGATTTTTCCTCACTGTTGGTATTTCTGTTGTGCTATCAAAAATGGTTGTGCTAATCCTTTGAGAAAGGGATGTTGAGGCAATTCTTAAATCATTTGGCACAAAGTTATTTTGGCTGGGGCATAAATTTGAGTCTCAGTCATGTAGAATAATGCAACATTCCATCTATCAAGTATTCACTTTGATTGAAGAGCTTTCTTTATGTCATTAACTTCCATCTGAAAGGAAAAAACAAAAAAGTAAATTTGTTGAAATCAGATGTTTTAACAAACTAAGGCACAGTCGGTGCAGTCTGAAAAGCACATATTTCATTCTGTCCACAGGTGTCAGTACAGCCTTTATATCACCCTTATTTCCAAAGATTTCACAAACTGAGGTGACCTTCTCAGCTGCACAAGGTGACTGGTCATGGCTTCCTCCCTTCAGAGCTAGATAAGCACAGTCATTGACCATGCCCCAACACCTCTTGAACTCTCTCAATTCTCAGTGATGACTGCCACAGCCTGTGCAACCTGCTGCCAGGAAATAACTCACTGAACTGTGCCCATGCCCAGGCACTTACACCCAGCACAACTGAACTGCCACTGACTGCAAACACCCATAGCTGATCAGGAAAACCTGGGGAGGCCTGACGGCGGCTGCAGCTCCTCCCAGGGAGCGGAGGGGCAGCGCTGAGCTCTGCTCTGTGTGACAGCGACAGGGCCCGAGGGAACGGCGTGGAGCTGCGTCAGGGGAGGGCAGCTGGGGGTCAGGGAAAGGGGCTGCACCACAGGGCGCTGGGCGGGGAACAGGTTGGGCTCAATGATCCTTTTAGGTCCCTTCCACCTTGAGATAAACTCTGATCCTACTTCAATTTGAGCTGAACGTGAATTGTGTGCTACTACAAGCTTATGTGTTTGCATGCATGAAGTTCTTTACACAGCCCTGGAGCACAGACATTGATGATCCCCTGTTCTGCCACTCTTTGTTATGTTCCCAAGTCCTCTTCTAAGCAGCCCAGTGAAATTACAGTTCGATTTTCTATCCCTAGTACAAAGATAAAGTACAGTTGACCTATTCCATAGAAATATAAAACATAATCAATACTAAAGCTCTTATCAAGTACATTACACTTCAAAATCTGGAAAAGCAGATTCAAAGTCATTCCACGATGAAGCTGCACTGTCTGTGACCCTACCAAAGGTGCAGCTCCGTTACCCTTATGCAGGAAGGGCAGAACACTGCTTGGAAACACTAAATCAATTTGCCAACTTAGGTACTATACAAACTATGATAGCAGTAACTGGCTCTTAATCCTAACGCCATCTTTTATATTATTTATGATGCTTTAGTGAAGGCAACCTGAATTCAGCCTATAAAACAGACATAAAAATCTTGCAACGTGAAATATAAAATACAAAATATAAAGCTTTGGGAGAGAGTAAATCATTTAAAAATGCACTATTCCACTTGTGACAAAATCAGACCATTAAAATTGAGACTAAAGAAATATGCTTGGAAGCCTTTATTGTGTTCTTTTGCTTGGTATTCGTCTACTTGGGCTGGTGATGAAGGGAATTGGTACCTCCTTTCAGAAATGGTAAAAGCTTTTGATTTGCTGGAACCTAAGCATCTTATCAGAGCTTTATGTCCTGTACCTGAGGCTAAATCAAACCTGCCAATATTTCCATGGCACTATAAATGATTTACGTACCTGCAATCGTAGACGGATCTTTTTTTCTTCATCCAATTCAGACAGCAACTGCTTAATCTCTTTTCTGTTAAAAGAATGCAATAACAAAGTTGGAATGCAAATATTGAAACTAGAAAAACACAAAGGATCGCCTCCTGGAAACTTATTTTCCCTTCTTCGCTACTAATTTCTTTTTTATCCCCAAAGAACTAATTAAAGTAAGTATACTCTTGTGTATTACATACCATAAAGAAGTAACTCTATCTATAAAAGGGCAGTCTCTCCTCCTGCTAATTAATAATATGAGTAATATCTTTCCTTCTAACAGTCCTGCATCCACAGCTTTTGCTCTTGGCTAGCTGTATCAATATTTTATCAGTACCCAGTTGCCTTTTTTTCAAATAGAATGTAGATAGACTGGCTGTTGGTAGGTTATAAGGGCTGGTAACACAAAACCTCCCCATCCTGTAACATATTCAAGCCAGTTAAGAGCTTCTTGTGCCAACAATACAATGTAACCTTCCCACATTCCCATTGAAATGAGCTCACCTTGTGACAGACGCCACTGGGTGGGAGCAGCCCATATAAGAAAGGCTGGGAAAACTAGAGGACCAGGAGCCAAGCTACAGGGTGAAGACATGGGGCTTGGTGTCTACTTCCAGTTTGAGATGTGCTCTCTTGCAATGGCTCTTCTCAAAACCCATCCACACCCATGTTCTGCTACAGTCTCTGCAGTCTGCTTTCCCTTTTCTTTTTCCCCTTTTCTTTTTCCTACTTGGGCTACAGTTTCCAAAACATCAACATTCTCCCACAGGAATAGCAAAAAACTATGTGACAGAGCACCTTTCTCCTACTGAAGTAGGAAGCTTAAAGAAAGTTGTCCAGCCCTAAGATAACATGCAGAGTCATAATTCCAAAGGTCTTCAAATGTCCTAATTACAAATTAGTTATGCCTTTTGAAATACAAGCTTCCTCTGAACGTGCACTAAGAATGAAACAACGCACTGATCTAACTTTTTAGGAACCTGTGTGAAATTTGTACTACTACCAGTACAAATGCACTCTCGTTAAGATCAGTGCATGGTGAGTTCCAGATAGTTACTAGCACATTAAACAATAAAAAAATTATTCAGTGCTAATTCCTTCTAACTTAACTTATTCAACACTCCACAAACATCTGCAATCAGTGCAGAGTGATGTATATGAAGACAAGCTCCAGAAGACACTGATGCCACACTTACTGGATGACTTACAGTACTTACTTTTGCTGGTCTTTCATCGTTTCAATGATAGTTCTTAGCTCCTTAACTTGTGTTCTCAGCTCCTCCAGGGCAGTCTGACCCTGGCTCAAGTGTTCAGTCTTTGGCTTTCCTTCTGCACCAAGTAGGGATGGGGAATTTGACCTGTGGCCTGTTGTTCCCATAGCAATTGAATGAAATCCAGGTGATGGTGAAGGGGATAGAGATGGTTGTACATTACTGCCACTAGCCAAACCTCCTGGCTTCGGAGGCAATGGAGTTTTATTATCAAATACCTGTCAAAAAAAAAAAAAAAAAAAAAAAAGTGCCAGGAGAAACCTTCATGAAAATCAGACCTATAACAAACATTAAGTACTTACTTTGCTGCTCTGTAGTAATGCTGAAAGTCCAGAGTCAAAGCATGAGAGATGCAACAAGTAGGTAAATTATCTTTGTACTTCTACATCAGAGGGGGTCTAGCTGGGACTTGTTATTTCAGACAGCTTCAGTGGAAGTTTCCACAGTTGCTAAAACTAACCAGCAAAAACCATTTCCAAGATCTTAGACCCCGCGGTATAATGAAACAAGGACAGATACCCACTGTTTCTCATAGAAGATTGTAGGAATGTGCCTGCATTTACTGATGTCTCCTGCAAAGCACAACATTAAGGCCAAAAATCCAAATTGCATTTTTTGCAGATTACATTTATGGTTTTCAATTAAGCACCTTGGATATGGATTCTTCTATATCTGTCATTGCCTTAAAATTAAAAAAAAAACCAAAAAAACAGGCAACATTTGTGTGGTTACCTTGAAAATTTCTGGCTTAGCTCAAAAGCATCCCGTGCTTCTTGAATTGCAATCCAGTGCTCTACTTAGTAGACAAGGTATAGACAACACCTACCGTACAGGATCCGTTACTTCATTGCACACACAGAACAGTGTAAAAGTACAGTTGTCACACTGGCAAGTAAGGTAAGTCTTAATTGTTCATCATATTATTGGTAATGCTAATGTGGGCATTATATGATGTGCACCAGAACTAACTAAATTCTGATTTTTGGGCCAGAGTAAGAGAAAGTGCTAGACAGCCCCTTGAATTCTCTCATTGGAAAAGAGATACTGAAACTGAATAGCAAATAAGATACTGAGAACAAATAGTATGCAAACACAGATACATGATGAGCGAAAACTAGAGGACTAGAGCAATGGCATTAACTCAACAAAGTAACTCAGAGAAAAATTAGCAATCAGATGACAACTAGAGAAAAAGTGGTGAGGAGAGAAAAGCAGGATCCACCAAGTTCTGTAGAAAACTGTTTTCTCTACTACATGGGAGTGATTGAGTGCAGAACCTGCCCCAGACAAACACTGCATAGAAGAAAGTCTTCTGTGAAACAAACAGTGCAACCAGATATAGAAAAATGGCATTATAAATCACAAGAGAGATGAATAATCCTGGTGGCTTGAATGCTTGACTGTTGTGATCTTAATGATGCCCCTTTAACGTTTTACGTACGTGTATGAATGTCTGAGAAGCAATGTATGTACCTGCAACCAGATTCTTCATGGATAATAATCCTTCAACAACCTGATGCAAGTTTCCTTTGAACTGAATGGGGATGTCAGGCAGCAAGTGAGCAAGGCACAACTGGTGCCATGCACACTGAACATGTTACGCCACATCTCATCTATCCATCTGGATCAAAGCCTCAGCCAGACACTTTCTTATAGCAGTCTTGGTGTTTTAGAGGAACAAGATCTACATTGTTGCCATGCCAGCATATCATTTACGAATGTTGGCCCAAGAATATTCATTAATTCAAACGCACCCAGAAGAGGGAGCTATATAGCAAAACATTATAATTTGATCACAGAAGTGACTGCATCTTTCAAATAAGTCTTGAAATACAAATAGTATTAAAAATATAAATATTACAATGTAGTATTTTTATTAGCCAAGGTATCCTTATGTACTATAGCACCAAACTCTAAGGCCTGATCTATTTATTCCTTCCATAGTATTTGATAATTTCACAGTTTTCTACCAAGACAAAGTAAGAATAGCACAAGCCTATATGATAAATACAGTTATACCAGTATAAAAAGTGACTATACTTGAAAATTTTAATTCACATACTGTTAGAATGGCCCAAAGAGTTGTACTTATTTGCTCTGCTCAAAGACTCATCTCATGTAAACTCAATTTACAGCTGCAAAAAAAGGCCTTTGTTTCTAACATTTATTTCCCCAGCTTCTCTGAATCTGTGAAGAGCAATTACACTAGAAAGATTTTTTTTCATACTATGTTTATGGAGGCATTTAACTCTGCAATTCACTTCAGACTTTTCAAACACAGAATGGCCTTACCACTTCTACGTTACTTTAAAGGACCGGTTACAAAAGTGGTTGTTGTGTTAATATTAAAAGAATTACTATTGAAAGTAACTATGTGAATAATGTTTTCAAAAATTAAAATACCCACACAGTAAGGATGAACAATTAATTCCAATTAATTTACCTGTGATATTGTAACAGTTCTTGATTTCTTCGACGCTTCAATAGTTTTGTGTGTAATGGAAACATGCTCTTCCTTCTCTTCCTCAGGACTTGGTGAGTCAAAGAAATCTGGGCTTGAAAGGGACGACTAGGTAGAGAGAAGAAAAAAAGCAGATATTTTCACTGTATAAGGATTGAACACAGGAATAAGAAAAGCATCAATGTGGTTTTGGTTTGGTGGTGGTATTTGTTGGTCATAATTTCCAAAGTAACAACCTGAAAATCAGCACTCTCCCTCCTTCCATCTTTTATTTTGCTTGCAGGGCTAGATGAAATGAGGAATTCTTAGAGATTTGGATTCAATGTGAATTTCCACCTTTGCCTTGCATTATACTCTAAGACTAAAGCACCTTCCTGTCTACCTTACTTGGCCAGGATATTCTGCATGCTGTGGGGTGTCAGCCCTGCCACTGCTTTGCCTATAGTGCAGGTCTTGCTTTGCTGCTCTTTTGAGGAGTCTCACTACTGCCTATGCACACTGATGGCACAGTACAGGCCTGCCATAGGCCTCTTTGCAAAGGTGAAACAAGGAAGGTTTTTCTCTGTCCCTTGTCCATTTACCCATGGATTTGTCAGGGGAAGAAAAGTCTCTGAACTTCTTCTAGGTTTCTGTATATTTGTGCTCATAGACAAATTTGAAAGACTTTTTGTTTGTTCTTTATTAGTTTCACAACACTCCTTTACACTTCCCCCACTTCATTTTTCTTCAGCCACGTGAACATGGGTATCATCAGCAGTTGTTCTCATTCTCATATTCCAGAATGCAGGAAGTGTGGAAAAAACAATCCCCAATCCCCACAGAAAAAAGACAGAAAAACTGAGCTGCAGATTCCAAAGCAAGGTTTCTGAGACCAACTGGTCTAAAAATACTAGAAATTTAAGTCACCCCTTTATTTGCAGGTGTCAGCTTAAGGAGAAGAAATGATTGATGGAGATGCATGAGGAGAGTTGCTGAAGACCATCAACGGTCTGCTGTCCTCAAACTCTGCTAACTGGCCCAAAGGGAAATCCTTCCTTTGGGAAATGCTTTTAAAATCCTTGATATTTTGCACAAACTAATTTATTCCAAAGGTTTTTTATAGAGCTTTATTCTGGCCTCAACCATGGTTGGCAAGGAATACCTGGCAGCACCCAAAGGGGGGAGGGGAGGGTACAAATCTCACAAGGGAGGGAATGTTTTAAACATTAGCATTCAAAACATTGGCAGCCTTTAGACACAAATTTTCCTGCATCTCTCTGCCTCACTGTACATGTGAAGGAATGGCTGTGTAAATGGATTAAAAGCATCAGGGAACAGAAAGACAGAGAAGAAAAAGTTCAGGAAAAATCTTTTAAAAATCAAATTACACTTACAGATGTGAAAGACTGGGAGGGTGGTCGCCTGCCAGTAGCTTTTGGTCTGGTTGTAGTTGGATGATTAAGCTTCTCAGCAATTGGTACTACAGAGTCAAAACCTTCCAAGTCTTAAAAATAAAACAGAATTGATTTGATTTTCTGGCAACTATTCTGAAAGGGAAAAAAATCACTTTTTTCTTTTCTTTTAATTTCGAAGAAACCAAATCCCATTTTTTCCATTGTATTACAGCATCCTGAGCACATTTAGACAACATGATGTCACTAAAAGAACCTGGAAGTCAGAGGCAGCTGCAGTCCAGTTGCTCTTGCTATGCACAAGGGCCCTTCCACCTCAAACACAACAAAGGGGAAATGAGCAGAGGAGCCTCTGGTTTTGTTTACGTTCAGCACAGTGAGAGCGAAATGACAACACAGATCCTATGGTAATGAGCAGTTTCAAAATTTCCATCTTGCTATTAGAAGGATTAGTAATTTTTTTTCCAAACAGCTGGAGATAGAATACAGCACACACGTTGTCTCACATGCTGTATAGCCAGTGCTGCTAGCAGCACCACAATTGCTCACAGGATCAGAGAATGTGCGTGCTGGAGCTGGATGGAGCTGCAGGTTTCTGGATGCCTGCAGCTGGAGGCAGCAGAGTTTCCAGAAGCTGAAGATGAGGAGATTATCTCCAGCAGTTCAGAGGTTAAGCAAAAACTCCTGCAGGCTCCGGAAGAGGTAAAAAGCCCACGACTGTCTTTGTGGTTAATAAAATGCACTGGGAAGGTGCTTGCTGAATCCAGCCACGTGTTTATGTGAAAGAATGATGCGAAGGCTGACGGAATACTGCAGCTCATGATTACGTGTCTGAACCAAACGGCTTAACACCTTTCATCTATTTTTATGGGTGATATCAGTTTCAGTCACCTCAATTTCAGAACGCCCTATCGCGTATGTTAAACAGAAATGATTGAGAAAACATACAAGAGTCCAGGCACGATAAATCCAAATTCTGAAGAATTACTTTCAGGCATGAATCAAATGCTAGAATTTTATTACTCAGAGACCATTTTTCACTGCATACATGCAGGAAATACAGCTTGTAATTTAACAGTGCTCTTAATTTTCCAATCTGCTGCAGAACAATGAGTCTCTGAAGTTCAAGCATTACTGCTGTGTTACAAAGATGGTACAAAATCACATAACAGAAAAACAAACCTGTGTTTGTGCAATAAACAATGCACACTGAAGGACACTTAAATGAATTCAAGTACTTGCGAATTGGCAGCTAGGAAACAAGTGGGATTAGACGTTCTTGATTCAGGAACATTTTTCCATCCCAGGGAGATTTAGAAAAGGGTTTAAAAAAAAAAAAAGAGACACCTCTTTCAATAGCCCTGAAATAGTCAGAGGTTATTCACCTCTAAACTTTATTTAGAGCAACTCTTCCTATATATAACCAGTGACACCACTGTCGTCTGCCAGGTATTTCTCTCACTGCTTCCTTATTGACTGTTGCAGCCTTTGCCATGAGGTATCAACACAGTCAGTCAATAGCAATTTGGTAGTCCAAAGCTTTGAATGAATGCAAGTATTAGGTGAAGCTACAATGCTTGGAAAAGAAAAATGAGCTAACCCAAACAGATTACACAAAACTACAAGAAAGCACACAGACCTCCAGGGTTACAGGAGAGGAGAAGTGGAAGTAAAATAATTATTTTCTGGAAGAAACATCAGCCTAAATATAGGGTTTGGCTTCCAGAATTGCCAGCTTGAAGCTGATGTGTGAGATAGCTAAATGCCTTCTTAAGATCACATGGCAAATCAGCAATGTATTTTTATGCATTGTCTTTGTATTTGCTACTGTGTGTTAGGTTGAAAGCAAGAAAATATTGCCATCAATAACAGACTTCCCATAAACACGTGAAATTCACATACACAAGTACAAATGGTGACTTGAAGCAGCACTCTGCTTGCCCCAGCTGCTCTTCCCCACCTAACCATCTTCACTGTTTTTTTCCTGACCTAGTTTTAATTCAGCTTATCTTCCAAAAATGTGTGCCAAACCGCACAAATACCTGTGCTGAAGAAAGGATCAGCAGCTGCTAAAGCTGAGAGGAGAAGGAGGCTACTGCTATGAGGGCAGTAAACTGACTGCAGTTATCTCCATGAGAATACATGTGAGTGCTCTAGTGCACAATTTCTCGTTTTCCACTTCCTTTGTAAGTGCCACTCTCTCTCTGTTCTTACACAGGATAAATATCTATCCTAAAAATGGAAAACATTAATGAAAAAAAAAAAAACCAACAGTGACAGTATTAACACAGTGTGTTTCTTTGGCCTAAGTAAGCTGTTACCTAGACTTCTATGTCTGATTAAAAAGTAAAAAATAAAAAAATAAAAAAAAATCATGTTTCAATTGCAAAATGTATTGGTAACAGCAGACGAGGGTACATATTTTTGTTCAGAAGACCCATGGGCACTCACAGATGAAATGTACTCCGCACATTTTATGAATACCAAGAAACACAAACATTCCTGTGCAAAGCTTCTGCTAAGAAGAAATAATGGGAAGAAAGATGATAAGTCTCCATTTCTTCTACTTTTGAATGCATTCCTGATGGCCAGAAAAATAAACTAAAGCAGCCCATTCCTACGCTGAATTTTAGAAAAGGAGTGGAGCAGAGCAGATGTTGGAAAGGTTCCGCTGGTAAAATCTACAGCCATACTGGTAAAATCACAGCCGTTCAGCTGACACTGCAAATGAGACTCTATTTAAGTGTAAGGGACAGCACTTGGTACAACGCTAAAACAGTAAACCCATCTCCAGTAACTTCACATGCTCTTTTATCGTCTCCTCCCAGGTTGTTCTCCTTATTTAGATGTGGTTCTCACTCCCAAATCCTTTCTGCATTGAAGATAATCACCACCTTCCCTGAGCACTCACAGAGATTCCCACCTGCTATACTAGTGAAGAAAATGAGGAACAAAACCACAAAAAAGACCGCTGCCTTACTGTCATCTATATTGCAGCTTCAGTAATTAACTCACTTACAGAGGTTATTTGATTTTTCTATTGTTAGCAGAAAGCCAGGCTATATAGGTGTGACTAGACCACACTTACCAAAGTTATTAAATGCATCCATCCATTTTGGAGAGTATTTCTCCAGTCATCAGGCACTGCAAGCTTAAATTTACAGACTAATCAAACTGTAAAACTTTCCTGAGAAGGGCCAAATGAGAGGCCATTGAAATGTGATCTACCATATTCAAAGCATGTTAATTGCCAGTAAGGCAGCATCAGCATCCAACAGAATTGAAGGGTGCCTTGGTCCAGCTTTCTGTGTCTGTTAATAGTAGCCAGTAAAGAAGATTCTCTTAAACACACAGAAGACAGGAGAAAGCCTTCAATTAACAGCGATAATCTGTAATTAAAAAAAAAAATCCTAATAAAAAAAAAGAGGTGATAGTTGTTCTACAAATAAATAGATGCACTGAGCTTTCTTACTGCTTTGGTGGTCAAGCTGGCAATTTATGCGTACTGGTGTAGTACACCCAAAAAAACGCCCAGCTTACTGAGCAAACACAGCTATAGGAATAAATTGGAGAAATACTGACTGTGCAAAAATTATTCCCTGGTATCTTTCCATACCCTTAAGAATAGGATTTCCTGTCCCCTTAAGAATAGGATTTTTTTCACCACTCTTGTGTTTGCTAGAAGACATGGCCACCGTGTTTTCAAACAGTATCCAGATTCAGAAAAACAAATTCGAGGAAAAAGTTCTGAGCTTTTCAGATTTGTACCTTCCCAGAAAACAACTTCCAATCCCTCCGGAAGAATTCCCAGGAAGGAATTAAATGGCTACACTTCCTTCCTTGTTCCCCTCCTCCAGGCATTCATTTACTATTCTAGCAGAAATTGTGCCTACGCCCCACTCTGGCTTTTTTTTTCAGTCTTTGGGCAAAGTCATTTCTACATAATGAAGATAGAAAGCTTTCTGAATTAGCACAGAAATTTCACCTTGGGAAAAACGAAGTGGAAAGTGATGGATAATCTCAGAATCAACATATTCAGAATGCTAATGGCAAGATTTCGGAGAAGAGAAATACAGCAGGGCTGGAATAAATGAGGCCAAGGTGGCATTCAATTCATTTGAAGAGGACAACGTCACAAAAAATCACAGAGGTAGATTTCATTTCATTATCATATTCAATACATTTAAAGGATTGACAACAGGCTAGTTAAATGATGTACTGTCTTTAAACACATTAATCCTGAAAGCTATCCTGCATCAAATAAGACAGATATGGCAAGTGAGATCTTCTGCATTAAAGTCAGTTCAATACACAGTGATAATTAAAAAGCAACTCAACAGAGAATACGAATATTACTGGGAATTTTCACAAGCCCAGAATTGTTTTAACTACTTCAAGTACTCAGGTTCTGCTCATCTCTCCCTGCTGAGCAACATTCCACCCTTCAAGGAACGCTGCTGCACTTTCAGTCAGGTTCATGGTAGCAGGATCACACCCAGGATAATCTGCTGACTCTTTTCTAATTCACTTCTAGCAGGAGGGTTCCCTGGCCACAGAGTTGCTCTGCATAAGACTGTCTGGTCAGTCTGCCCACGACTCTTTGCTCTGGGTGGAAAAACCTATGCTGGCCTGGCTTCCTTGGACAGCCACTGGACAGCCACCTCTCCTAAAACATATGATTTGATTTTCACATTTCAGCCCCAAGTTTTATTGGCTTAATAGCAGAATGTAGAAAGCTGCCATAATGATCTTAGCAAAGCACTTGCCAGTGTCCTCATCAGGATTTTATTTTTAACAATTCAGAAGATGCCAAGAAAGAGCTAAAAGGTCAAGGAAATTGAGCTAGAAGAAATGGATATGCTGTTTTCAGGCGCCTCCATTTGACACACATAGAGAATGATTCAAGTTTCTGTGTGACTGCTTTTTCTTCAGCACCCGCCAGGGCAAAAGACTTAATTAATTTACGTAATGGACTATTAGCATAACACTGATCACAATGTTTATAATTCACACCTAGGTTTATGGGTAATTTGGATTCAGTGACTTTTGAGTTCTGCTTCTTTGCTTTGCTATATTCAAATTAACATGAACA